ATAGAGAGAGAGAGAGAGAGAGAGAGAGAGTTAGATATAGTTTGTGCAAACTTCAATAATTGAGTTTAGCACTTCCCTACAAAGCAAACACTAAAAATAGCATACTGAGATTGGCCACACACAAAATGTTATAAGGCTGACAAAAATATAAAAATATTGGCAATCTGAACAATTAAATACTGTCTTGTTTGCAGTTTACTATTATTCTCACTAACGTTTTAGGATACACTGTTGACTTACAATGTTCGGACACATGAAACGATACGTTTTACATACTTTGCTGTCTTAGTTAAAGTCTTGTGTGAACCCTCACCTGCACAGCTGCTGAGCGCGAAGCCCAGTCTCCGCTGGGCGCGGTCGAACACCACGTAGAAGCCTTCCATAACAGTAGCGCCGATCACCAGGCCATTAGCTGACGAAGACAATCCAAAACGGAAGCAGTCCAACGTGCCGTCCTCGTCTGTGATTGGCTGAATGTACAGCTGTGACACGACAGACAAATCAAGAGATTGCAGGGGACCAGCGAGTGCTCGTGTCTCTTCGTGTTGATGGAGCAGAAGCGATTACTTGTTTATGCGTTTGTGTTTATCCCGGTACCTTAGGCAGGATGGTGATGCGGAAGGACTGGCTGGTGTTCGTGGCCCTGAGGTAGATGGACAGCTTGGGGAAAAACCTCCAGGGGGTCTCTCCCTTCATCCAGCATGCAAGCTTGCTGCCATCCCAGAACCCTGAAGAAAAGTCCTGGATCTGAACCAAAGAGAAACAAAGAGAAAAAGACAAAGGGAGACAGAAGGACACACACACAGAATCAGAAGGTCAGTACAGCACCAAAACAGGTTTTTGTGTTCTCTTTCATTTTCCCCACTTGGGATTAATCTGCAAGGATGTGGGAACATTAATTGAAAATGTTGCTTCCAGGTTCAAATTAACCTTGAGCACTGTTTATGTGCAGTTACAGAAGGTGAAAAATGTAGAATGAGGAAAGAAAGACAAAAAAGCATGGCCGCCCGCGCACACACATTTTTATAGAAGAAAAACTCCTGCTCCTTCCTCTCAAAGCCACCACGTCCTTGAGCAGCGAGCGTGTGCTATCCTCGCCTGCATCGCTTTGCTCTGACAACATGTTTCATCACTGTCTGTGGAGAGACGGCAGCTTACCAGAGAGCTGCGTGTGATGGCTTCTACCACCGCATTGAAGACGTTGACAGGAAGGCGCAGCAGCGTCGTCCCACTGTCAACTATAGCTTTATCCATGTTATACTGAAAGAAAGGGAGAAAGAGTGAAGTGCAGTAGTAGTATTCTCAGCTCAGTGTGGAGGACCTTGAGCAAACTAAAGAATGTAAAACAAGGAAGCTCTCGAGTACATTCCCCTGCAGTACTGCGTCTCAAATTCACGTTTCATTTCCTTGTTGTAACCTTGATACAATAAACTATAAACTAATAAACTACAATAAACTAAACAATAAATTCCTGATTTAAAAAAAAAAAAAAAAAAGAAAGAATGTTATCGGTTTCCAACTTACTGCTTTTCTGCTTCAAACATAAGATATAGTTTAGTTTGAAGTATACCTCTCTGCAGTCCAGCTCCAGATTCTGGTCGCCAACCTCCAGCTTCAAAACCTCCACTTGGAAGTACCACTCCTCTACAATAGGGGTGTACCACACTGACCCTTGATACAGAGTTGGTTCAGCCCCTCCCAAGATCTAAGGAAGGAAAAAAAGTAATACTTTTTCAATCATCTATGGGTTACAACAACAACAAAATCTTACAAGAGGACGCTCTAGCAAAGGTTTGTAGGATCCCTCCACAATTTGGCAGAACACACACACACACACACACACACACACACACACACACACACACACA